CACACACACACACACACACACACACACACACACACACACACACACAGGCACGCGCGCGCGCGGCGCGCACAATTACTTACATGCAAACCTACCTACATACACGCACATCTGCATGGATCAGTATACGCCAATGTCTATTTAGGCTTGGAACCTACATACCTACCTGCCTATCTACCTACCCTCGCCACCCTCCTCTACCCTTCCCACCCTCCTCTACCCTTCCCACCCTCCTACTCTCTCATACCTACCTGCCTACCTCCTTACCTACCTACTTTACTTTTCCGATCCAGCGGCCATCTGGGTTCTAGCCCTTCGGCCTGTCGATATGGCAAAGAACTCTACCTACCTACCGGCCTGCCTGCCTGCCTAACTACTCCTACCTACCCACCTACCTCCCCTCCCCTAACTACCTACTTACCTACCTACTTACATACATACCTACCTACCTACCTACCTACCTACCCTTCCCTACCCCACCCCGTACTCACCCACGTAAACCCCTACCCTACCCTCCTACCTATCTACCCACACATCGGTACCCACTTTACTCTTCCCTACCCGCCTACCTGCCTACCCACATTATGCCCGCCTCCTATCTATGCTTACCCATCTACTTACATACCCACCTAACCTCCTACCTACCTACCCTCCCCAGCTACCTAACTACCCACCCACCTACTTACCTTCCCTCCCATACAGATGGCACAAAGATGTTTGGGCTCTATTAAGAAATGTAAAGTTGTACCCAGAGACCGTTAATATTGTTATCTATAAATCACTGGACGCCCCTGCAGGTTGGGGGGAAGGGGGGGGGGTATAGTTTTACTGTGGGGGAGCAAAGAATACACCTGCCGTGACACTGCGTATTGTAAGAGGTGACTAAAGATGCCTAGGTCTGATCTCCCGAAAACAGCCAGTATTCGAAAGGCCAATTACCCGACCCAGGAAAAATAGTCAGCTACAGAAACACGGAAACACTCGGCTTTTTATTTTTCAATCTTGGGACACCGAGAAGATTCTCCATCATCAGCAGGGAGATTGTTTTTACAGAAGGTGGGAAGACATGGCATAACATCAAGAGGCTAACACATGATAGAGAAAGGTGGAAAAGTGTTAGTCCGTGAAAATGACAATGACGATCTTAATTCATCTCGCAGGGAGAAATTTGTCTTGGTCGTTAACAATGGCTGTAGACGTTACAAAGGTGCACTCACGCATTCACTCACAACAAGACAGGACATTAGTAAATACTTGACAACCCGCTCCGTAAAACACTCTCTCTCTCTCTCT